ACACACACACACACACACACACACACGTCTGGTTTGCTATCCTTGTGGGGGCTCTCCATAGGCGTAATGGTTTTTCTACTGTACAGACCGTATATTCTATTGCCCTACGCCAACCCTACCCCTAAACCTACCCCTCACAGGAAACTTTCTGCATTTTTAGATTTTCAAAAAACTTCATTCTGTGTGATTTATTAGCTTGTTTACCCGTGGGGACCTCAATTTAGGTCCCCACCGTGACATGAGTCCCCATGAGTCTGTGTGTATTCAGGTTTAAGTCCCCACCAGAATAGAAAAGCAGGTACACTCTTGCACACACACACACACACCATCCGGTCACTGTTCGCATCATTTATCACTGCAGATGATGTTGACAGCTGTCAATCATGTTGATTCCTCTAGGAGCGGCTTCAGTGACCGAGACAAAGTACCGTCCACATTCTCTGGTTGTCCATTCGTATCGCACTCCTACGTTTTGTCACTACTGCGGTGAGATGTTATGGGGACTCGTCCGACAGGGCCTGAAATGTGAAGGTATGACTACGTAAAGACAAAACCAATGCACACACATCAATAGCAAAAAATGCTCAAAAGTGGGTGCTTGACAAAAAAAAAACATCATAAAAAACGAACAAAAGTTAGTGCACCATAGGCTCCAAAGTCTGATGAAGAGCCTGTGAGCTCGAAACATAACCTTGTGTGAAGTCCATTATTAAATTGTTTTGCATCTTTGGAGCCAATGGTGTGCCGACTTTAGTTTGTTTGTTAAGGTATGACTACGTGAAATACTTCAAATGCAGATGAAGATGATGAAGTCTTATATAAAATCCCTGTTTTATTTAATTGGTAACTTGCTTTTGTTTGTTTATCACTTAATATTTATATTATTATGATATTGATGTTTCTTATTAAATATTCATAATGTAAAATATATTTTTTATAAATATTTATTATTTAATTTTATTTATTTTTGCTTAGTTTTTATGCCATGATGTTTGGTTTTCCTTTTGTTGCATGATCTGGTTTAAAACAGTATATTTGTTGTGTCATGAAGAGTTTATCGGTTTATTTATTTTTTATTATATAATATTTATTCTAATATTTGTATTTAATGTTTATTAATATAAATTATATTTTAAAAACATGTATTAAAATGTTATTTGATGTTTTTGCTTAGTTTTAGTTATATTAATAATTATATTATTTATAAATATATATATATATTTACATGTATTAGATTTTTTTGCTTAGTTTCTATGACATTAGTTTCTGCATTGTTGTTCATGTTTAGTTTGATTTATTAATTGCTTATTTATTTGTTTATTACTTAAAATATTTATTGAACTGAATAGTTACATTTTATTTTATTGCTTAATTACTTTAGTTATTACTCAATATATTTATTATAATTTGTATATTTATTATTGTAATATAAATGTGTACTGTATATTTAAAATAGATTTTATGTATAAACATTAATTTAAATGCCATCTATGTTTAGTTTTACTTTTGGTGCATTACGTTGTTTAACACTGAAATGTGCAGCACTTAACATGCATTCAAACAAAGACTTATACAGAATATTTACGTTTTGTTTTATTGCTTAATTGCAAATTTTTTATATTTATTATCATTTTTAGATGTATTATATTATTTATAAATATTTATGTATTGAAAACATATTGAATTTTTTGCTTCGTTTCTATGGCATTTGTGTTGCATTATGTTGTTTAATGTCTTAAGAGTGTTGCGAAAAGTGAAGCGTTTGAGAGTTTTTCTTTGACTTGCTCTCTGCAGGCTGCGGTCTGGATTTCCACAAGCGCTGTGCGTTTAAGTTGCCCAACGACTGCTCTCGCGTGTTTCGCCGCTGCGGCCCGAGTCTGTCTCTGTTTCCTCCGGGACGCCCGCGGACTCCGTCGCTCTCCAGTCACACGGGCGGAAGTCTGGAGGAGGTGACGATCCGAACCGACGCTCACGTTTCTGCGAGGTGTTTGAAATGCTCCCTGAAAACCTTTGTTTTGTCCCTCAGATCAGCATGTCGAAGCCGTCGCGCTCACGCTCGCGCCCGCCGTCCTGGGCCGACGTGCCGGTGTCTGTGGGGCTGTCGGATGGGAAGGAGGCCCGGCCTCGCGTCCCGCACACCTTCCACATTCACACCTACACCAAACCCACGGTCTGCCAGTACTGCTTCCGGCTGCTCAAGGGCCTCTTCAGACAGGGCATGCAGTGCTCCGGTGAGAGATCACCTCAAAACATTCAGCGTGTAAAGAAAAATCACAAAGAAAGCCTCTTTGGAAACATTGTTAGTAGAAAGATCCGAGTCCAAGTTGATCCTGAGAAAGTTATTAAAACACGCCCTGAACCAAAAGGACCACACCCCTATCTTGTTAGCCCCGCCCCCAAATGCACGAAAATTCTATGCAACCGGCCCCTCCCCCATCATGGGTTGACACGCCCCTTACTGCTGATTGGCTACAAGTGTGTTCTGGTGCTCTTTCAACAAGCGTTTCTCTGAAAGAGCAGTAACATCTTCCTTTCTCTCTGCGTTTCTCTCCAGACTGTAAGTTTAATTGTCATCGCAGGTGTGTGACTCTCGTTCCTCCTGACTGCAGGGGTGAGAAAGCAAACGGAGAAGGTCAGTTTGATTATGTGTGCATGGGATAAAAACATTTCTAGGTCACATTTCACCCCAAATCAAAAGAGGAAAATCTACATTTTTATAAAGAATTTTCATCCCACTTGTAGGACTTTTTGCATTGTGATAATATTGTTTGACATTTAGATAAAACGTTTATGTTTTAGTTTATGAGTCCACCACTATAGAGACATCAGCATAAATTAAAGGCAGTAAAAAAAAAAAAAGATTTTTTTTTTGCTTAATTGCTTACTTATTATACAGTATGTATTTATTATATTAATATTTAAATATTTTATTTATTTAAAATGTATATATTTTATATATACACCGAATATTTACATTTTGTTTTATTGCCTAATTGCATGTTTATTTGTTTATTTATCATTTAATATTCATATGATATAAATTATGTGTTTATATATTATATATACAAAATTTCCACCATGCTGATAAAATACTGGAAACCAGTATTGACATGTACATTTTGCATAAATTAGAGCATTCACGGACATTAAGTTTACTTCCAACATGATCCAAATGTTAATGTGTTAAAAATAATTAAATATATACACTATCATTCAAAAGTTTGGGGTCAGTAAGTTTTTTTTTTTTGAAGAAGAAGAAGAAATAACACTTTTATTAAGCAGGGATGGATTAAATTGATCAAAAGTGACATTAAAGACATATATAATGTTTTATTGATTCCTGAAAAATAAAATGTATCATGGTTTCCACAAAAACATGAAGCAGCACAACTGTTTTCAAATCAGCGTATTAGACTGATTTCTGAAGATCATGTGACTCTGAAGACTGGAGTAATGATGCTGAAAATACAGCTTTGATCACAGCAATAAATTACATTTGACAGTATATTACAATAGAAAACAGTTATTTTAAATTGTAAAAATATTTCACAATATTACATAAATTTTTATATCAATATTTTGGTAAAATTAATGCAGCCTAGGTGAGCAGAATATAGCAGTTCAGAACAGTTTAAAATGCATAAATAAATATAAAAATGTTTAAAATATTTTTAGTATGTTAAACGTCTTGAGTCATGTTGTGTACCTCTCCATGTATGACAGGTGCTGTAAAACATTGTATGATCTGATTTTACTGTATATTTGTGAGTTTTGTTGTGATAAAGCGAGTGTACTGTATTTTCAGAGTCTGATGACAGCGTGGCGGTGGTGTCAGTGAACGATCTTTATGAAGAGCTGCGATATAGAGACCCTCCGGCCGCAGAAGTGACGCCGCTGCAGCCGCCCAATGCGTAAGGATCCACATCACACCCGATCAGCTGCAGACTGAGCTCAGATGTTCACGTCTCTCTCTCTCTCTGTGTGTGTGTGTGTGTGTGTGTGTCTGTCAGGCCGTGCTTCAGTGTTAATATCCCTCTGATGCGAGTGGTGCCTGTGATACTTTTTTTCAGGATTCTTTGATGAATAAAAAGTTAAAAATAAGAGCATTTATTTAAAATAGAAATCTTTTCTAACAATATACACTACCGTTCAAAAGTTTGGGGTCAGTACATTTTTATTCTTTCTTTTTTTTGAAAGAAATTAAATCTTTTATTCAGCAAGGATGTGTTCAATTGTTACGAAGTGATAGCAAAGATTGATATTGTTAGAAAAGATTTATATTTTGAATAAATGCTTTTTATTCATCAAAGAATCCTGAAAAAAGTATCACAGTTTCCAAAAAGAATATTTGGCAGCACAACTGTTCATAATTCTGATAATAAATCAGCTTATTAGAATGATTTCTGAAGATCATGTAACACTGAAGACTGGAGTAATGGCTGATGGAAATTCAGCTTTGCATCACAGAAATAAATTATATTTTAAAGGATATTAAAATAGAAACCATTATTTTATATTGTAATAACATTTTGCAAGATTACTGTTTTTTTCTGTATTTTTGATCAAATAAATGCAGCCTTGATGAGCAGAAGAGACTTCTTTAAAACACATTACAAGTCTTGCTGATCCCAAACTTTTGAACGGTAGTGTATATATATATATATATAAATACATATTTTCTTATATATTTTACTATAATATTATATATATTTACAAGTGTTCTTATTTTATATTATTATAAATATTTATATATGTTTTTCTTTGCAGAGAAAACGTCACTACTGGGTATTAGATGGGAAAAGTATCACCATGTACCCGAATGAAATCAGCAATAAGTACTATAAGGTTTGTAAGTCTTTATAATGCATCATGTCACCTTTAACGCTTCATAATGTGAAATAGAGCAACATTTGACGCACAGTTCATCTCAGGACTGTCATGAAGTTTTTAACATAGTTGTGTGTTCTTCATTTCAGGAGATTTCTCTCTCAGAGGTGCTGCAGGTTCGAGGCTCGGCTCAGCTCACTATTCCAGTGTTGCCAGGCAATAGCGCACACTCGTTCGAGCTGGTGACGGGATCTCTGGTGTACTGCGTGTTTGCGGATCAGGACGGCCCGTCATGGGAGTCGGCTCTCGATCAGGCCCTCAGACCAGTGCAGGGCACTGTATGCCACACGACAAACAACACCGGTTAGAGCAACAAGACGGGAATTATTAATGAGTCTCTGATTCCACAGAATATAAATATACTCTTAGTTCACCCAAAAATGAAAATGTCCTCACCCTCAGACTGTTCAAGATGTTTGTTCATAGGAACAGATTTGGAGAAATGTAGCATTGCATCACTTGCTCACCAATGGGTCCTCTGCAGTGAATGGGTGCCGTCAGAATGAGAGCTGATAAAAACATCACAATAATCCACAAGTAATCCACACCACTCCAGTCCATCAGTTAATGTCTTGTGAAGCGAAAGCTGTGTGTTTGTAAGAAACAAATCCATCATTAAGGTGTTTTTAACTTCAAACTGTTGCTTCTGGTCAGAATACAAGTCCATAATTCATAATTACGCTTCCTCCATTGAAAAGTCATTTTGTCTGAATCAGGAGAGAAATCTGCACTGTTTATAAGGCAAAACAGCTCTAAACAAATATGTGGGTGGATTTTGATTGTCGTATGGATTATTGTGATGTTTTTATCAGCGCTCATTCTGACGGCACCCATTCACTGCAGAGCATCCATTAGTGAGCAAGTGATGCAATGCTACATTTCTCCAAATCTGATGAAGAAACAAACTCATCTACATCTTCTATGATCCTCATGTTGTCTATAATGTCAAATAAAATGACACCTCCTCTCTTGCCAGGTGACGGAAAGAGCGGTGAGGAGACCCAGGTGAGACTCGATTATTTATCATAAAAATGTTTCTAAAATAACCACTGCGTTTCAAAGAGGGATTCAAGCATCTGGATGTGTGTGTTGCAGGACATCAGTGAGCTCTATCAGATCTTCTCTGATGAAGTTTTGGGTTCGGGTCAGTTCGGGGTGGTTTACGGAGGCACTCACAGACACACGGGACGTCCGGTTGCAATTAAAGTCATCGATAAAACAAGATTTCCCACTAAACACGAGGAACAGACCAGAAATGAGGTCTCGATATTGGAGGTATGAGTTCGAGAAGCCATTTTTCCCACAATTCGAACAACTGTGTTGTTTTTGTTGTCGTTTTATCGTCCTTATGTGTGTGTGTGTGTGTGTGTTTCAGAGACTGTCTCATCCAGGAGTCATTCATTTAGAAGGGATGTTTAAGACAATGGAGAATACTTTCGTTGTGATGGAGAAGCTCCACAGCGACATGTTAGAGATGATCTTATCTCACGAGAACGGGCGTCTGACTGAACGCACCACCCGTTTTCTAGTCACCCAGGTAATGAAGCTCATTTGCTCTTGAAACACAGAATATTCCTCTAATGTTAGTTACATTTTTGCGGGAAACCTGTTCCTAAAGCTCTCCAAGCGGCCTCTTAGGTTGTACTTTTTAATAACCATAACTAATGTTCCCAGAACGTTGTCAGAAGGTTTTTTTTTTTTTTGTGACCACCTTATACAGAACATTATCTCATGGTTGTTTTTACATTTTTTTTATTTTATTATTTTATTTTTTAAGTCTCTTAAGCTCATCAAGGCTGCATTTTTAAATTAAAAATACAGTAAAAACAGTGAAATATTATTACAATTTAAAATAGCTGTTTTCTATTGTAATATATTGTAAAATGTAATTTATTTCTGTGATCAAAGCTGAATTTTCAGCATCATTACTCCAGTCTTCAGTGTCACATGATCTTCAGAAATCATTCTAATATGCTGATTTGCTGCTCAAGACACATTTCTGATTATTATCAATGTTGAAAACAGTTGTGCATGAATTGCACATGAATCCACTTCCTATAGGTCTTCTTCATGCACTCTAAAAAATAAAGTTTTCAAAGGGGGTTTTGTAGCAATTCCATAGAAGAACCATGTTTGGTTCCTCAAAGAATCTTTCAGTGACTAGTTCTTTAAAAAAAACATTGCTTTAGTGTGAAGAACATTTGAATCATCTAAAGAATCTTTTTCCACTAAAAAGACCATTTTGCGAATGGAAAGACTCCATGGATGTTAAAGTTTCTTCATGGAACCATATAGATGCTAATAATAAAAACCTTTATTTTTAAAGGGGTCATAGGATGCTACATGCACATTTACAAGTTGTTTGAACTGAAATATGTGTTGGCAGTGTGTGTACACAACCACCCTATAATGATAAAAATCCACCCAGTGGTTTTTTAAAATCTGCTCAAATCTTAACCCCTTTCTCAAATCGAACCGATCTCAGATGCCTTTCTGTGTGACGTCACAAAAACAGGCCCCTCCCACGATAGTTTGATTGACAGCAGCGTTTCAGCACAGACTGGACTGGTGTCTTACCTTAGACCCGCCCTGAGTGAGCTGT